CCAGTTTAATCCTACTAATAAGATTTATTTAAAACAGGTATTAGAAAAGTACAATAATAGTTTCACAATCTTACGATTACAATTTAGATGAGCGACTGTATTCTTACAACTGATAACGACTTATAATACAACTGCGATTGTTACGACTGATGACTAACTAAGGCTAAAACTTCTTTCTACATATTTTATATCAGAAATGACCTACACCCCTTTGAAGAGGGAAGGAGCTTACGAATCTTATTGACCAATAGCATAAGGATCCACCCCATAATCCACCGACGGGTACAGCCTATGGTTTTTGGTAGTGATAAACTATGCATAACGAAACTTGATCTAGAATATCAGAATGTTACTTCTTTTATGGTATCGTACGTGCTTAGATAGAAATGTGAAACTCCTCAAAGGTCTCGACACTGCACAAAGGGTTTTCATCGCACCAATATATCTCGATAATTYTTARGTTTGTTTATRGTTTTATRGCCYTCCTAATCTTTTCTTTTAGTCTCTGAATAGAGTTTTCCTTTCCAGAAAATAAAATATAAAGAAAAGAACTGAATACTAGTTTTTCGTCTACATCTTCGACACTTAAAACTCTCCTACATATATATACATATACTGTATATAGAAAAATAAAAGTACATATATATAAGGGGTGGGAGAATTAAAGTGATACGATTTATAATATTAAAATCAATGTTATTATTATATAATCTTTTAAGTTAATAATTTTCCTTTGCAAGGAAACAAAATCCTTCTTCTTTCATTTTCCAAGAGGATGTCGCTGCGCGATTTGTGTACATCTTTGAAATAATATCGCATGACAATAGACGTTTTCTAACAGCTGACAATCATTTAATGTTGCGACTTATGAACTAATTTGCATTTTATCCTGAGCATCCATTGTTTGAGGTTATTGTTGATGAGAGGGGCTTAACGTATCCGTTCGAAGTTACAAACTGGCACAAGAGAAAAAGAGAGAGAGAGAATGAGAGAGAAGGAAGGAAAAGCCCTCGTCAATTTCTAAAGCGCGTCTAGGTATTCTCAAAAGCGCTTAGTTCAAGAAGAAGAAAAAGAAAAAGAAAAAAAAATCGCTATTTCTTTCATTGAGTTTAATTTTCAAAGAACACGAAAACCTTTATAAAATCTTAAAGATCAAATGATGATAACAGTTTACGAAATCAATGTAAAAGTTCCTGAATTCATTGATAATTGAATTTCACATATATATAAAATATATAAAAAAAATTTTATATATAGTATAAATACTATTATATTACTAATATATTATATATTAATATTATATATAATAATATATATTATATAT